CCCAGCTTCTGAGACCCAAACTCCACGCGCGAAGCGCGCTTCTCAGAAGGCACTGGACCATTTGCCTCACACCTGGCCAATGGTGTGCAGAATGTCCAGGTGTTACAGTAGTATGCTTGGACGCTCTGTGGGTAAGGCGGACAGGCAGGAAAAGCAGGCAGGTGAGACGTCATCATCTGTCTGGACAGGCTGTCTGAGCTTGTCTCTGAAAGAACCACGTCTATTTTGCTTCACACAACAATCAAACAAATGCAGTGCATGCAGCATGCGGTATAGTAGAAACTAATAGAAACACGTTTCCACATCCAAATCCTATAGTTGAAACAAAATATACTTATACATTACCCTCTTGGTAATTCAACATAAGTATGGAAAATTACCCATTTGTAGATGATTTAACCATATTTACTATAACATACTATAACTATATGTTCTTATCAAAAATGATTTTCCATAGCTACATTAAATTACCAGATGGTATCTGATTGGCTGTGCAAAACTGGGCTGATTTGGGGCCTGGGTCTGGGGCCTATGGCTACAGCCCAGGACCCAGGATATCGCAAAAGGCCTCCCCTGCGAATGGCCAGTGTGGACCAGGGCTACGCGAATCGCGTAGGTTTCCCTTCATCCCTTTCGTTGGAGCCCAATGGACACATTAGCGCATCGTATCATTGTCATCCACTGAGCATACGCAGTGGGTTGGCCCCAAGCTCCCAGCTTCTGAGACCCAAACTCCACGCGCGAAGCGCGCTTCTCAGAAGGCACTAGACAATTTGCCTCACACCTGGCCAATGGTGTGCAGAATGTCCAGGTTTTGGTATGCTTGGACGCTCTGTGGGTAAGGCGGACAGGCAGGAAAAGCAGGCAAGTGAGACGTCATCATCTGTCTGGACAGGCTGTCTGAGCTTGTCTCTGAAAGAACCACGTCTATTTTGCTTAGCACAACAATCAAACAAATGCAGTGCATGCAGCATGCAGTACAGTAGAAACTAATAGAAACACGTTTCCACATCCGAATCCTGTAGCTGAGACAAAATATACTTACATTACCCTCTTGGTAGTTCAACATAACTATGGAAAATTGCCAATTTATAGATGATTTAACCATATTTATTATAACTATATTTTCCTGTCAAAAATGATTTGCCATAGTTACATAAAATTATCAGATGGTATCGGGTTGGCTGTGCAAAACTGGGCTGATTTGGGGCCTGGGTCTGGGGCCGATGGCTACAGCCCAGGACCCAGGATATCGCAAAAGGCCTCCCCTGCGAATGGCCAGTGTGGACCAGGGCCACGCGATTCGCGTAGGTTTCCCTTCATCCCTTTCGTTGGAGCCCAATGGACACACTAGCGCATCGTGTCATTGTCATCCACTGAGCATACGCAGTGGGTTGGCCCCAAGCTCCCAGCTTCTGAGACGCGCGAAGTTCGCTTCTCAAAAGGCACTGGACCATTTGCCTCACACCTGGCCAATGGTGTGCAGAATGTCCAGGTGTTAGTATGCTTGGACGCTCTGTGGGTAAGGCGGACAGGCAGGAAAAGCAGGCAAGTGAGACGTCATCTGTCTGGACAGGCTGTCTGAGCTTGTCTCTAAAAGAACCACGTCTATTTTGCTTCACACAACAATCAAACAAATGCAGTGCATGCAGCATGCAGTACAGTAGAAACTAATAGAAACACGCTTCCACATCCGAATCCTGTAGCTGAGACAAAATATACTTACATTACCCTCTTGGTAATTCAACATAACTATGGAAATTTGCCAATTTATAGATGATTTAACCATATTTATTATAACTAGATTCTTCTGTCAAAAATGATTTGCCATAGCGACATAAAATTACCAAATGGTATCTGGTTGGCTGTGCAAAACTGGGCTGATTTGGGACCTGGGTCTGGGGCCTGTGGCTACAGCCCAGGACCCAAGATATCGCAAAAGGCCTCCCCTGCGAATGGCCAGTGTGGACCAGGGCCACGCGATTCGCGTAGGTTTCCCTTCATCCCTTTCGTTGGAGCCCAATGGACACATTAGCGCATCGTGTCATTGTCATCCACTGAGCATACGCAGTGGGTTGGCCCCAAGCTCCCAGCTTCTGAGACCCAAACTCCAGGCACGAAGCACGCTTCTCAGAAGGCACTGGACCATTTGCCTCACACCTGGCCAATGGTGTGCAGAATGTCCAGGTGTTACAGTAGTATGCTTGGACGCTCTGTGGGTAAGGCGGACAGGCAGGAAAAGCAGGCAAGTGAGACGTCATCATCTGTCTGGACAGGCTGTCTGAGCTTGTCTCTGAAAGAACCACGTCTATTTTGCTTCACAAAACAATCAAACAAATGCAGTGCATGCAGCATGCAGTACAGTAGAAACTATTAGAAACAGGTTTCCACATCCAAATCCTATAGTTGAAACAAAATATACTTATACAATCTTATACATTACCCTCTTGGTAATTCAACAAAACTATGGAAAATTACCCATTTGTAGATGATTTAACCATATTTACTATAACTATATGTTCTTATCAAAAATGATTTTCCATAGCTACATTAAATTACCAGATGGTATCTGATTGGCTGTGCAAAACTGGGCTGATTTGGGGCCTGGGTCCTATGGCTACAGCCCAGGACCCAGGATATCACAAAAGGCCTCCCCTGCGAATGGCCAGTGTGGACCAGGGCCACGCGAATCGCGTAGGTTTCCCTTCATCCCTTTCGTTGGAGCCCAATGGACACATTAGCGCATCGTGTCATTGTCATCCACTGAGCATACGCAGTGGGTTGGCCCCAAGCTCCCAGCTTCTGAGACCCAAACTCCACGCGCAAAGCACGCTTCTCAGAAGGCACTGGACCATTTGCCTCACACCTGGCCAATGGTGTGCAGAATGTCCAGGTGTTACAGTAGTAGTATGCTTGGACGCTCTGTGGGTAAGGCGGACGGGCAGGAAAAGCAGGCAGGTGAGACGTCATCATCTGTCTGGACAGGCTGTCTGAGCTTGTCTCTGGAAGAACCACGTCTATTTTGCTTCACACAACAATCAAACAAATGCAGTGCATGCAGCATGCGGTACAGTAGAAACTAATAGAAACACGTTCGCTGCAACACCTAGGTTTGCCCGCGGCCAGTCCCGCATATCCTTTGACATGCTCAAATCCCTTCGCAGGGTTTAAGTTTTTTACTTTCCAAAACAACAAACACCAAAACCCTAAAACCTCTAAACCTAAACCCTAGATAAAAACGCTAAAACATGAAAACTTAAAGTCAAAATCACTGCGTATAGCCCGTGTTTTCATTGATCCTCTGGTGATGAGTATATCATATTGTTTGGATGTGTTGTTTGAGTGTGGGCGAACCAGGGGGTTGCGGGGAACACGTTTCCACATCCAAATCCTGTAGTTGAAACAAAATAAAATTACATTGCCCTCTTGGTAATTCAACATAACTATGGAAAATTACCCATTTGTAGATGATTTAACCATATTTACTACAACTAGATGTTCCTATCAAAAATGATTTTCCATAGCTACATTAAATTACCAGATGGTATCTGATTGGCTGTGCAAAACTGGGCTGATTTGGGTCCTGGGCTGTAGCCACAGGTCTGGGGCGTGTGGCTACAGCCCAGGACCCAGGATCACCAAAATTTGCTATGCAATATGTTAAACCCAATGGCACGTTATATATCTATACTAATGTGGATTATGTAGATTATCAATACACTATCCATTGTAGTTTATCTATAATTACTGTTAGTAAAGCTGCCATAGTCACCATCCCAGCCATCCCAACTGATTGTATGACCTGCTGGACCTGCTGTTGCTGCTGTTCCTGCTGCTTCCGCTGCCGCTCCCCCTTGACGGGGTCGGCGGATTTGTGACAGTTTCGCTGTGGGTGTTCGATCTGAGAGCAAGAGTTATTTTGCTATTTTTCACATTTCCAACTCGGGGCCGTGCTGAGGTGGTTGCATTGGTCGTTAACCTACTATGCGCGGGATGCAGAAAGCAAGAAGCAGACCTCGAGACGCGTGCGCAACAATAGCTGTTGCTAGGTCTTGCAATCCTGCAAGGGCCCTAAAACGGGGTAGTCAATATTTGTCGCCCTAACTCGGGGCTCGGGTATTTGCTGTAGTTGGTGGAAACAAATCGTTTCAACAGCACATCCACTCCTGCGGCACCTCAAAAGGAGTTGGCTGGGCATGTTGGGCCAAACAAAACGCAATGATTTGCAACGTGAACAGAGTTGACACAGAACTGACACAACCAAAGTTCACAAAGTGAGCTGCACGATGACAAGGATGTTGATCACTGGATAATCATGGATAATCTATGTATATTTTTTGCTCAGGCCACAACAACCTCCAAAAATTATCTGCGGCTGGTGCGCCCTGTGCACAACTGTGGAAGATCAAACGAAACCGACCTGATGCAAGAGAGCTGGTGAAGTGCTGAAGGCTTTGTCCATTTGTGGCATGTTTTGCTTTGAAACAGGCAATGTTGACATTAGTTGACATCAGTTGGCATTACTTGGCATTCTTGACATCGTTCTGGAATCCAAGGCTTCCTTCCCGCGGCCCGCCGCGGCTGCACATTTTCCCCCGACCGACCAAGTCGTCGGAACCCCTAAAACAGCCATCCTTGAAATCAAGACTCACCGAAAATGGTGGTTGATGAAGGTATCTGGCCTTCAAATCACGAAACCAGACTCACTAGTAATGAAAACAAAGCGGATAAAAATAAATGGTGTTTCAGACTCTTGAAACAGAAGTTGATACAGGTTTTGCTGGTTGGTGTCTTAAAAGACATCAACCCCTTGGAAAGTCACCCAAACATTTCTAAACTCAGACAACCTGACAACCTAGAAAGGAGTTCTTTTAAAGCAAAGCATTCCAACATTATAGCCCCTCTTTCGCGATTTCAAGATGTTGTATGGCTACACATACACATATATAAATATAATGTGTATATATATATATATCATGTATCTATCCTTGCACCCACCTAAACAACCAAGAAATACCCCACTTAAGCGCTTGAAATATCTTGAAATATCAGGCCGTCATCCCTCATATTCACCTTGGGCTGCACTCCCCGGGTCATCTACCAGCTTGACAGCAAGCTGGACAGTTGGCAGGGCCAAATTTCATCCATTCTCCAACCAACAAAACAACAAACAATTCAGCTCCAAAGGTCCGAAAAATTAGTTTTCTCAACATTTTCCAGTTGTTCTTGCAATATCTTCCAAGATCTTCCAAGTTTCACCAGTCGGCACCAGATCTTCGTCATAGTCTTCGATTTTCACCACATATTACATGGATTCCCCATGGGTTTCCAGCAGTTTTCCCCCGTTCTTCCACCGTGCGAACCGCCGCTGTTCACGGTTCCGGCGCCGGCGCTTGCCGCGCCAGCAGCTGCCGCAGCTCTGCGGTGGAGGCCTCCGACGCAGCGAGGCGCTGCTCGATGGACTCCAGGAGATGCGTCAGGACGTCCATCTCGGTGACCTGATTTCAACGGTGGATGGTACAGTTATGGCCATTTTCTGGTACTTTGATGTGGTTTACCTGGTGACTGGTGGATGGTACCCTCTGGTTATGTCAAAATAGCTGAAAATGGCCATAGAAATAGTGGATTTACCCATTAAAAATGGGTGGATTCTCCATAGCTATGTTAAATTACCAGGATGGTACCAGGAACTTTTAAGCAACGAAAATTCATGGTGAGTTTTGTCAGCAAGATAAATATGGTGATTTTAAAGCATACTTAGCTAAGTTGGTTTAGATGGTAGGTATATATAAGATATATATATATATAATTAATGGAGGTTCTAACCACCGGAAATCAACAGAAATGGGATAATTATGGTGATCATAGATAATCATGGGGGATAACACTATAGGATTTCATGGGATAATGGGGTAGAACTGGATTACCAACCATAGCTAGGTTGGTACAATATGGGTGGGTCTATTTCTAGAAAATTGTGGTCACAAAGCAAGAAAAATAAGATTAATTATGATTAATTATAAGATATGGTGAGTTAACCAACGAAAAATGGTGATTGAACAAAGAGAAATTGTCATTGAACCAAGAAAAATTGTTATTCAACCATACTTAGCTAAGTTGGCATATATAACTATAGGTGAATTCTATGGTTTAGTTTATGGTATGCCTAGAGTTTTTATGGATGTTGATGGTATATCGGTATATCTATAAATAGAAGGATTTCACCAACAGAAGCCCCATACTTAGCTAAGTTGGCATATGGTCTATGATGGTTTATGGTAGGTACGGTATATCTCTATTATTCAGAAATGCATTGGGTTTATAAACAAAATATAATCCAATAAAATCCAACAAACATCACTGGGGGGGGACACCACCTTCTAAGAATCTGCTTGAAATATCTTGAGCCATCAAACATGGTGATTTTTCATGGATCTTCACAGGGAGTTAACTACTGTGAAAAAATGTTAACGATCATGTAAAACTTCCTTAACCATCAAATATCAAGGAAACATTGGTAATTTAGCCATCAAGAACGATGATTTAGCCATCATGACTACTAGAAGTTTAAGCTTGTTGATGGTAATCAGTGTAGGTTGTTCCTTCTTTAGGGGCTGGGCACTTTCAATGATGAACAGTATGGGCATTCTACAACCGGGATCACCAAAACCACTGTAATTTAATTGAAAACGGACATGACAACAACTAAGGACAATCCACCAGTTGAAGATCTGGTTCCCACTAAAAAAACATCCATTTAGTTCAGGGGTTTTCCAGCAAATCACTTTTGATGACAGAAACCGTAAACAATATAATTATTAAACAATCAAATCACGGTATATCATGGTGGTGCCATCTTCAGGAATCTCTAAAAACACATAGCGGGGCAACAAAATTTCCCCACACATTCCCCTGCCTGTATATTTTTAGCTAGGCAATATCATTGATTGATTCCCCATTTCTAGATACGCCAACAAAAAAGATGACCCATGTCCACATATTATAGAATTTCTCAAAGCAGGAAAGACATCTCTCTCCATTGTTTTTCCCATTAATATCATACTAATGAAAGAATTGAACAAAATGCGTATAGCGTTGGACGCCCCCGTTTCAGGAACCTCCCACTACTCACAACGCCCCTGGTGGAAAGGTACCATCTTTTCGAGCATCAGAGCAGCCGCTTCCGGAAGATTCTGCTCTTGCAGATCAGACACCTGGTGTTGGCTCCGTGGATGCGTTTTGGGCCATGTTCAAATATGCTACCCCAATCAATGGATGGTTTATATACGGAAAATCCAAAAAAACTGGATGATCTGGGGGTACCCCCATTTTAGGAAACCACCATATGTTTATTGTTCGTAGTTGATTGACCATCCAAGTGTTTGAGTTAACCAACAAACCACAAATCCATGACACTTCTGGTGGCCGAAACAAAGAATCTGCCTAAAAAAACCAAGGCGGAAAGACGTGCAAATGATCAAATATTCGTGCTGTGTGCAAGTCATTGTCTAAGAGAACAGCAACGAGGAAAAATGAACTCCTGTGAAATTTATTGGTATGGCATGGTTTGTGAATTTGGCTTTGATTCAGGAGCTAAAAATATAAGTAGGCAGGATTGGAAATTGTTTGCTCCTTGATCTCTTCCAAACCTGAGCAACTGAACTCCGGAAAATAAATGAAAACAAACACACTTGCTTGATGAAAGCGATCATCTAGAACAAAGGTGGTGTGCCACTCACTTGCTTGACCTTTACGTTGCATCATCCCAGTCTTACTGGCATCCCACTGCATCGCCCAATGGATTCCCAAAAGCACCACTATATAAGGCAACTGAATAAACGAACCCGTTACTGTAACCCAACCCGTTCTTCACCTAAATTGCATATCAATACATCTGAGTCAACTCCGTCATCTTCAGCCCTGTCCCCCAGCCACTTTCAGACTTTCAACAGACCCAGAAAAATCGGCCCCAAGGGCACCTTGCTTTGCAGCACCTGTTCCCCAGCCCACGCCGCTTCGAGCAGTTTCTGCAGCGAGCCCGGTTTCTGCAGCGTCTTCTCGGGCGTCTCGTCACATGCGCCGGGTGCCGCGCCGTCTCGGGGGACGGTGCTTGGGGTCTCTTGACCCCGAGTAGCTGGGTCCAAGGCCTAAGAACAGCAGCTGGCGTCAATCTTGGCTCTCCAAAAAATGGAAGTCAATAGATACCAAGTCAATAAATAATGTTCAACATTTCAATAACTACCCAGTCAATTTCCACTGTATTGTTTTTATTGGGATTCGTTCCCCATCTTAGAATTCATAAACCACCCATTGGGAATGGTAACCATACCTATAACAATGGTGATGACTCGGGGATGGTTTATGGCATTGTTTTACCCACATTAGGCCATACCCTCTGGTAAACTAACATACCTGGTAACCCTCCAGATTGCTTTTTTCTGCTCTGTTTTAAGAAAACGTGTTTTTTTGCCATTTTGAACGCAAAAAGTGCTTTGGAACGGTTTTTTCCAATCCGAACGCTTTTTTACGCTCTAGAGGTGTTTTCCTTGCAAAATGACTAAATCATACCATTTGGCACGATATCTTACGATGGCCTCCAAACTCAAGCTGACTGGCTGTTGTTTGTAGAAAACACCAATATAAAGCTGATGTGTATATATATATATATATGTATAGTCTGTATAGTCTTATAGAGGGAAACAACTGCAGGCTATCAGCTTCGCCAAGCCAGCATGATCTGGGTAAGGTGCCGGTTGAAGGTACGCAATGCCATCAAACGAGGTGATACATGTCTGGTTATGTAGGCAGCATGCGAATCTTTGGAACCAGGGAAAATTTCATCTGACCTTTCTCACGTGATCTAGCAGGATTTGGGATTGTGAGGCTTATACTGCTGAAACAAAAAACCAACCACAGGACTGAGACGTTTGCTTTGCCAACTGAAAAATTATATAATTGCCAATCAAAAGCTATAAATGCATGCACATCCCAGTCAGTAAAACTGATGTAAATTGAAAAGGGATATATGAGTCTCAAAATACCTTCAAAATTATGGTGTAACCTCTAGTAGCCGATATGAGTCTCCAAACAGGTGACCCGTGAATGTTGCATAGCTGAAAAAACCAAGAGAGAGGCAGCGCACTGCGGTAAAATCTTTTCCAGCACGTCAACTGCGGATAGTAAATCTGAAAAGGGTCAATGTTTTGAATCAAGTTTTCCCAGAGTGGTCAAGGTGACTTTGGGGACGGCATGGTTTGGATCTTGAAAAGTCTTTCATTTTACGTAACATTTTGCGTAATGTCGAACGGTTTCGAACGGTTTTCGAACGCTTTTCGAACGCTTTTTGAACGCTTTCGAACGGGTACGCTTTTTTTACGCAATTGGATTTGAACGGTAATTTCCAATCTGAACGCTTTGTTTACGTAATTTTACGCTTTTTTTCAATCCGGTTTTTCCATTTTTTTAGCTTTTCTTGATGTTCTCTTTTTTTTTGGGAAACGCTTAAAAACCTGAAGATTCCTGTTAATGTTCCATTGTGGGTCAAAAAATCCCAGATGACAAAGCCAATATTTGGCAATCCATGGGTGCTCCCGGGTCAACATGCCCCCAATGAAGTTTACAATTTCAGGGTTCCCTGCAGCTGCCTACCTGTCCCTCAAAACCATTTGATCGAATATATGTAGGCAGTGAAATTGTTTCAAAGCATTTTGTTGGTATTTAGGGTATACCTTTCCCCATAACCACTCTGATCAAACTTGATCACAGTCTTGTTGGAAAGCATTGCTTCCATTCCTCCGGGAGCCGGAGGTTGACATTCCCACGAAGGTATTTAATTACCTCTATGAGTTTGGCCTCAGACCAATCAGACCATTCATAATATATATAAATTGAATTTGGGAACAGGACATGTAATTTTGTGCCTTGGTGCGCTATATTATTGTTTCTCAATCCCACATGTTGATGATTACATAGTGTATATGCATGTGTTTGTATGCATGTGCA